GGCCGGCCGGACTCTTGCAGTCAATTCCTCCGCCAACAGCACCCTTCCAGCAGATCGGAATGGATCTACTTGGCCCTTTTCCGCCGTCGACGTCGGGAAATCGCTGGATCATCGTCGCCACAGATTATCTCACGCGGTATGCCGAAACGAAAGCCCTTCCTTCCGGAACTGCTGTGGAAGTTGCCAAGTTTTTCATTGAATCCATCGTCCTCCGGCACGGCGCTCCCGAAGTCCTGATCTCAGACCGTGGATCATCATTCATGGCCCAGCTGACGCAAGAAGTCCTTCGTCTCAGCCACACCAGCCATCGCCGCACCACAGCGTACCACCCGCAGACCAACGGGCTGACGGAGCGACTCAACAAGACAATCGCCGATATGATCTCTATGTACGTCGACGTAGAGCACAAGACGTGGGACGAGGTGCTGCCCTACGTCACGTTCGCTTACAATACGGCGGTTCAAGAGACCACTGGATTCACCCCTTTCCAGCTGGTACATGGTCGGAAGGTAACGACCATGCTGGACGCCATGCTGCCCCATGAGCCATCTGACAACGAGAGCGACGACGCCCAGGCGGTTGCTCAACGCGCCGAAGAAGTTCGCCAGCTCGCCCGACTCCTGATTCAAGACCAGCAACGCGTCGACGCCGGCCGCTACAACCTTCGTCGCAGGGACGTCCACTTCCAGCCCGGAGATAGGGTGTGGGTATGGACGCCCATCCGTCGCCGCGGCCTCAGTGAGAAACTGCTGAAACGGTACTTTGGACCATACAAGGTACTTCGTCGCCTCGGCGAACTGAACTACGAGGTGATGCCCGACGGAACACGAACATCGTCACGCCGCCCACCACGACCTGAGGTCGTCCACGTCGTGCGCCTGAAGCCGTACTACGCTCGATAGGACTGTGGACCTTTTGTGCTCCAAAAGACTCTTTAGTTTATCGTTCTTTTTTTATTTTGATTTGTTTTACACTGCATCGGGGCGATGCACTTTTAAAGGGGGGAGTAATGCCGCGCGCAAGGCTGAGAAAGCAACGCTCGGTCACGGTCCTCCAGAAAGTTCCCGTTTATTCATGTACCGCACGTAACTTCTATCATTTATCCCTGCATTTGTTTTCTAGAAAGTGCGTGTTCATTCTCGCCCCGATCACGCGACGCTCGAACCGCTTTCGCCGAATCTTCGAGATAGCGACGCACTCTAGATAAGAGGCCGACCGCGACCTTGTCGAGTCAGTCTCGCCCCAGCGTTCGACTCTGCTGCCACGCCGACTTCGACGCCCGCGACGCTCTATTATTATCTTTTGTACTCTTTTATTTTTGGCACAAGTTCGCCACATTAAACGTTTATTTCTTCTTGTTTATTTCCTGTTTTCTTTTGGTCACCACCCGTGACTGTAAAATGTAAAACTGTAAAATACCTCCATTCACATGGAATGCAAATCTCCCCAGCCAAATCTGCTGCTATCGCCTTCACGAGAAAGGATACAAGGAGATATCCCATTCTAATAGGGGGGACACCAATTGAATACGTCAAAGAACATACATTCTTAGGAGTGACCCTACATCGATCTTTGTCATGGTCCCCACACATCAGGCGCATAAAGCAAAAGCTGAAGTCCTTCACACAAATTATTAAAATGATAAGTGGAACGAGATGGGGATGTTCAGTAAGAGCACTTTTGACCCTTTACAACGCTCTTTTTGTCGGACTATTACGCTACAGTATTTCAGTCATGCATGGTATCTCCAAGTCGTCAATGAAAGACCTGGAAAGTGTTCAAGCACAGGCTCTAAAAGTTTGCCTAGGACTTCCAAAATGCACATCAAACATTGGAACTCTTGTTGAAGCTAGAGCAATTTCGCCCGGTATCCTCAGAACCCAAGAAACTATTCGAGTCCACCTACGACACCAAGCGCGCAGCCAAGCACATCATCTGGCGAATATTACGGAGGTTAAACCCTCTGCCCGCTTTTCGAAGATCATCTCGCAACTCCATGGGTATATTTCAAATACTTTTGAATTAGCTAAAACCCCGCAGCAAGCACCGTGGACGTGCAGTTCTATCGACATTAAATTGAACATCCCCGGTGTTACGCAAAAAGCAGCAACCCCAACACCTGTTATGATGCAGCTAACGCTTGAGTATATACATCATGCCTATCTCTCATCGCAACACATATATACGGACGGGTCAACTAACTTTATATCATCATCCATTGGAGCCTATATTCCGTCAACTAGCACGACGATCAAAACGAAACTGAGCCATATTACGTCCTCGACAGCAGCTGAACTTGCGGCTATCCGGGCAGCTGCTGCCTACATCAGCACCCAAAACCCCCAAAACTGGACAATATTTGTAGACTCTAAGTCCGCTCTCAGCGCACTCATGCATAAAAGAAAGAATAACGTAAATGCTCAACTGATTTATGACATAATGCAGAAGATCCATGATGTGAGGTGTCAGGGACATGAAATTGTCTTACAGTGGGTACCGGGGCATAGTGGCATACCCGGCAACATTTGTGCTGACAAAGCTGCTAGGGACGCCCACGAAGTTGATAATACCTGTGCAATTCCTCTGTCAAGGACAGATGCAAATGATATAGTCCGAAAAATTGGGAGAGAAATATCATCCATACTATGGACAGATCCATGCTACTATTATGCGCACTTGAAACAGATTGACCCGGAATTAAAATTTCGAATGCCGGGAAATATAAAACGACGAACAGAAACTGTGCTGCATCGAATACGCTTGAATGTGGCTTTTACTAGAAAATATCTTCATATGATCGGCCAAGTAGATTCACCGCATTGTACAGCATGCTCAATAACACACGACATTAAACATGTACTCTGCCATTGTTCACTATATAGTTCCCAAAGGAAAACACTAAAACAATCCTTGAAGATACATGATCAGGACATTGAGCTCAGCCATATATTAGGACCCTGGACTTCAGTAGCGAAAGAATCCAAAGCAACCAACGCTTTACTCTGGTTCTTAAAGGATACCCGCCTGGACCAAGAGTTGTGAACTGACATCACTCTTTTTAATTTACGTGTGGCTATTTATTTTTCGCCAATCTTTGAGTGCGTATATATGTGTTTTATTGTGTGTGTGTGTGGGGGGGGGGGATACGAGTGTATATGTGATCTCACTCTTTCTTTACTTCTCTATTCTGTCTGCTGTCTCTCTGCTCTCTTCCTTTTCACGCAAAGTAGCAAACCAGCCCTCACAAGCAGGTTGACCTCTTTGCTTTCCTGTAAATAAACATACCTCTCTCTCTCTTACTCTACTGTGGCTGTCTGAACATTTCCTGCATTAAATGGAGCGAAATGTTCACAGCTCCCAGTTGTTTGAAAAGAAACAAAGGTTGTTTGACACAGCGTCATTCGCATTAAACAAAACAAAGAATTGTAGAGCCCTTCCACTTCACGTGAAGATGGAGGACCAGCGAAGCTGTTATCTTTACGACGTCTAGGATGATGCCTAGAGGATGACGTCGGGTTGGGGGAGGGGGGGGCGAGGCGAGGCGATTTAGAATGGTGTCAGGAGACTGTAAAATCAAGATTTTGCTGCAGAGTCATGTATATTATTAATAAAGCCAAAAAAACACAACTGCTCGAAACCGAAGCATGATGACGGAAGCTCATGACTTAATGGCCACACCTGACCGCATTTTTTTTTTTTTTTTTACTCTGCTTCTCCGGCCTCTGAAGCAGAAAACGATGGCAACAAACTTGCCTGACTTTTTGTTGTGCGATTCTTTCATACTTACATCCTTCCGCTTGATGTTCTGTGCTTGAAGATCGATTGGCCGGTACCACGAACGACAGCTTCGAAGTAGCGGCCCCACGTCCATCGCACCATTGGTCAGTCGTGCACCGCCATCACGTCGTCCAGCCCCCAGTATATCGCACATGTACTCCCTGTGATCTGTGCAACAGTTTTCTTCTTTTTTTTTCCAATCAGCGTATATTTGCAGTTTTTTGGAGGCCACAAAAAATGGGGTTCATATTTTTTTTTCTATTGACCCACCACCTTGAATATATTTGATACACATAGTTTGAACGCCACGTGACCATGGAAATAAGTGAGCACGACTGAAACCGGCCGATTCTCGACCAGCTGTTTTTGGACAGAAAGAAAACAAATTTCGAGCCGCAAATTATGTTCTGAGCAGTTTGGCTCTTATAGGTCATGCAAAAATAAAAACCTCTGCGAGCATAAATACCCTGTCAGTGTCACTTTAGGGAATATTGCAGCAGCAACACATACACGCAACAAATAGCTCTTTAACTTCTTGACATTGTTAGGTATACTCCGTTTCGCCTTACAATTTGTCGCAATGGACACTACGAGCTAGCCGAGCCAATCCATGGCTTGTAGCTGGTCACGTGACTTTGCGCTCCTTGTGTTGCTCCGCCCAAGCGGAAGGACACGTGACACTCACCGAGCCAAGCATTGACTCTGGAGGATCATGGCATCCTTTGTGGTCCATCGTAAAGTGGACCGTAAAACCCTCCACTCCGACTAGCTAAAGCCAAGTCGTGCGGCACATACTAGACCTCAAAATATATTTATTTGTTCCATTATTGAGCTGTCTCCATGTCACTGCCGCTTGCTTAGTGAAAACCGCACCTCTGACACCACTATCGTGAATATTTAATTGACTTCGCGCCGGCACCCGCATGAAGGTGTGGTTGACATTTTTATTGCGCCGAATCATTTTTTGATTAATGGCAACTGCCATGTGAGGTTTTGGTTCCATTCCAGTTCGGGTTCGATATGAAATGTTTGATTACGATTTTGTGTCGGTTCAGTTAAAAAGAATGGTTTTGTTCCAATTTTCGGTTTGTGTTCGGTTCGACACCCTGGCACTGTGACTATACTTTGTCATTAGTCTTGGTACCGATTTAAAGTTTCGCACTGAGAAACTTGGTTCAGGTGTTCACAAAGTCGTGTGTTTCTCATATCCATTTGCTTTTCAGTGCACCATCAACATTGTCTTTGATCGGGTTGGGAGAGTGGACCCTGTAACGAGAGGAATGGAGATTGCGGTCCACTACATGGGATTTGATGTCGACGTGAGTCATACTTTCTTTATGCTCCGATGCACAGTGCAAGCAGCACCTGGAAGGGTGACGGGAACCAGATCGATTGACACCACCGAGCAACCTGTGCACCTACTAACTGTCGCTGGAACTGCCATGAGGCACCAACACCACCTTAGATATACATAGTACCTATGTATGAACGAGTTGCAACTAGGATGCAAATTAGCAGGCATGTTACCGGAGAAAGGCTGAGAGTGTGGAAGACCCTTAGAAGCATGTCCAGACTTTTATCACTGCCATAAAAGTGAGGCTCTTGGACCAGTCGTATTATAAAAATAATATATGCCGAATTAAATAAAACTAGAAAAATGCATTTAACAATTAAAATGCAAAAATTATTTTTGGCTGCAGTTCATCAATCTGATTTTTTAAGCACGACAGTAAAATGATGCCGTCAAATGTTGGGGCATGCATGTAAACGACCGAGACCGTCATGGCATACTGCTCTTATCACGTTGTATCATCATAGGAAGAAAGCTGTAGTAAAACAATTTTATGGTAATACCCAAAATTTGCGTACTACGACTTTGTGAACTACGTACAACAATGCGAAGAAAGACTGCAAGTTCAATGCATTTGCAACAAATCGAACACCAGATTTCCCTTTCGGCCTTGTCAATTAGCAGGCTCCCTCCTCTGTCTTCCCTCTGGTCAGAGAGTAATAGTTAAGCTCAGGGTTCTCCTTACGGTGGGCGGCAGTTACTTTGCCGCCCACCGCTCCAACTGACCGCCCATTGCTCTGACTGATCACCTACTGCTCGATCATGCCACAGGATGACGATGCAATTTTGCCTGCGCTTATGGCTGCGAACTGTCATACTCAGCAGGCCTGAACACCACAACGTTATTGCGTGTTATTGCATCCCCGATTGCCGCCGCTTTTTCGAACAAGGAGAGTGGAGCAGAGTGAGGGGTGGGGGTGGGGGGAGGTGAAGGTGCGAAGTGGGTGCACGGAAGCACCCACTTTGTTTGGGCGCCCACCGTTGACATTTCCGGCACCTTGATACTTTAGACCCATGTTGTTGTAAAAGATACATACTCCAAACTCCGGTCTAAACACATGCTTTTCGTGTAAGGCTTGTCAAATTATGAGGCGCTGGAGAAAACCAGCCTTCTGCATTAAGTCTTTATTTCAAACTTTTTTTGTTTGCTTTCTGCCTATTGAAAAGCATGCGGGAAGAGTATCAGCACGCACCTCATATCGCTGCGCCACAGTGTTCTTCCACAGCCTAAAGGTTGTCTGCTTTCATCGCCGACACCATGGCAATGAACACCGATTTTCCAAACGCCGTCTGCTGTAGTCCGTTGCAACTCGAGAAGGTAGGGCAAGGGTAAGACGGACCGGGGAGGAGGAAGCAGAAGGAACGCTAAGGAGAGAAACAGGTTCCCCCTCTCTTCTTCTGCGTTCCGTCTACCTCCTCCCCGACACGTCTCACCCTCACCCTACCTTCTTGAGTTGCAACGGACTATAGCCACTTAATAGTTTTGTAATGAGCAGCCACAGACTGTTGCTGCAAAGCGGTGGGAACGCAGGCGGGGGGTGGGTTAACACGCTTCCCAGTGATACACGCGCCGTCCAAAAAGGTAATTCGACATTCGTTGCCATGGTGACGGCGATGAAAGCAGACGGCCTTTATGCTGTGGAAGAGCACTGCGGCACTACGATAAAAGGCACGTGCTGAGGTGCTTCCCGCGTGCTTTTCAATGGGCGAAAAACAAACAAAGAGTTTGAAATAAGGACTTAAGGCAGAAGGCTGGTTCTCTCCAGCGCATCATAATTTGACAAGCCTTACACGAAAAGTGGGCTTTTATGGCCCTCCTGCACCCTCTTTTTCTTATCTGTAACATGAGTCTAAACTATCAAACTGCTACATTTCCCAAACCTGGGAATTCTGAAAAATCATACGTTCAGGGGTGGAAGCGTTGCGCTATTCTGCGCCAATTCACTTTCACTGTGCCATGCTGCGCCCAAGCACAAATGTTGCACCAAAACTAGCCAAAATCAAAAAAAAATTTTTTTAATACTATGTTTATTTGGATATTCTTCTTTACAATGTAGCAAACCGGGACAAAATACCATGGTTAACTACCTTATCTTCCTTCCTTCCCTTCCTTCCTCCTCCTCCTTCTTTGCTGGCTACAGTGGTTCACCGTGTTCTTTTCTTTTAGATAATCCTGAACAAATGTTTTGGAACCACCATACCAATGTGATAGTGTCAACAATGTGTGGTGTCTGATCTTCAAAAATGGGACATACATAGGTGGCTTTGTTAGAAGTACTGAGGCATCAATTCGTCGTCTACTTACTTTTTTTTTGTTTTGCACAGTGGTGCTGAACATGGCTGCATGTATTCAAAATAACGCACGCATTAAAGCATTGAATTGTGTATACCGTACTGTCGCGAATGAACAGGCAAGGAAACAAAGAATAACTGGGCAAACTCAAACGTTTAATGGGGTGAACTTGTGCCCAAAAATAAAAAGGAAACAGAAGATAACAGCAGAGCATCACAGGCGTCGAAGACGGCGTAACAGCAGAGTCAAACGCTGGGGCAAGACTAACCGTGGCTCGCCACGCGGAGCCCCTTATGTACACATGTTAGCTTCTGGAACAACCGGCATAGAAGGTTCGGCGCGTAGAACATTCGGACCTCGAACAAGCAACAGGATTCTCGAATTTACCGGAACACTAAATTGCAAGAATAAATAAAAGATGCGTCGCTCCCAGGATTCGAGCCCTGGCTCTTCGCATGGGAGGCAAGCACGATAACTGTTAGTCCACGGCCGCGCTGCCTACTTGGCCAGCTGCGCGCCGGTAGTATGGACTCCCGCCCCCTGAGAAATCACCCATTTCGTTTTTTTTAAATCACATGAGCCGCACGATTTGCTGTGTCGATATATGTGACAACCGCGTTCGCCGCGGGTTCCCTCGTGCTTAGGGCACCTCGACACGCGAATCTGGAGCATTTGCAATTTGCGGTATCCGTTCCCGTGACATGCAAATTCGTAACTTGCACTCGCATTTGTTTGTTTTTATCACGATTTGCACATGCGATATCGGTTCCCTTGACACCCGAGTTTTTTAGCAGGTTCTTGCATGTATATCACACTGTGAAGTGTGAATGCACTTCTTCCGCGTTCTGCTGCCGTACCCTTGACAGGGGAGTTCATAGCGAATTCCTGTGTACTTCTCGCGCTGCGGAACGCAAATTCGCGATGTCTGCGATCTGTGGTATCATTAATGAAAAGACGGTGAGTGTGCAGGCGAGCTGGTGAGATTTAATCATGATGTTTAAAACCCGAGGCTCTGATGAGGGAAAAACTAGGAAACTTTGAAGTCGAAGAGTTCCCATTTCATGTAACTTGTAGTGCCCCCCCACACTCACGCATCATTTATCTTTGCATTTTGGATGGGTGTGCTTTCAGGACTTTATGGTATATAAACATACCTAAGAGCCTGCTGGCATGTGTTTACCTAGCTGTCATCTAATCTCTGGAAAAAGCGATAAGTACTCTACAAAATTAAATAAACATTTGCCATATTTAATTTTTTTTTCCATGTTCAGGGTATTTGCTTTTGCTGAGACCGCTTCATCGCTCCCCATTCGTGTCTTAAAGGTAATAATTAAAGCAATAATTGGTTGCCTCATCTGTAAACTTTCTTGTGAATAATGTTCGTGGCGAATACATGCACTGGCACACAAACAGCAAGCTGGCAGGACAAGGAGAACAGTGTGAATCTCCTGCTGAGCGATGCAAACTCTAAACTGTTGTGCTAGAACGCATCCAGACAATTGTTTTGTAAAGACAGCTTTCCTTTTTATGGTTCTACTTGCTAGTTTTGTCAATCACTTTTTTTTATCAAACCCCTCAACAAGCTTTCTTAAATTCTAGTCAGTTATGCCTGTTCTAGTAAGAGTCAATTAAGTGTGTATGTATGAGCGGGGATGATATCATGAAGCTTTCAATATTTTTTTGTTTGTACTTTTATCAAATAGAGTAGATTTGTGTTAATTTAAGTATTGGAATACTTTTATGTTTGCTAAACAGAGACTCGGGATATTTTTTTTTTATTTCCTAATAATGAAAACTGTAGTCAGTAAGTATTAAGCTTTATTTCATACCATACTACTATTGCATCTTGAAACGGTTTTGTTTTCAACTTGTGAAACTTGTGATTTCGGTTGTTAGATAAGCACGTTTTGTTTTCATGAGGCTTAGCTTTTTCCTGACCGTGCCCAAAGGCCATCGATCACCGGTGATCGATGGTTTCCCAGCACCGTCAAGAAATTAATTTTAGTGCCGAGAATTATGTTCCACAATCACGTGGATAGCCGAAGGACTCTAGTTTGGTTTCAACGTAGGTTTGAGGTTTATCACAAGCTGGTGGGTTGCCAAAAATAGTCCTGGGAGCGGTGCTGCACTTGTCTCACTTGACTAACTGCTTGCATCAGTCTTTGTAACAAAAATGGCATTATTTACATAGTTCATCTATATTGTGGCATATTTTTTAGACCTTAAGAGATGAAGTGGGGATCGACAGAAACTTTTATGATTTTCAATAGATTCTAATAAAGTTTGGCACATATATGTTGGTAATGCATGTAGGGTGATACAACCAAAATATTGCTTTCTTATCTAAGTTACTTTTTGATTTATCAAACTTTTCTACTTCTGTCTTTGTGGAGAGCCTGCAGAATTTAAAGAATACAATAGTAGGAATGTCGTACAACGACAATATTCCGAAATGTATCCTGCAAAACGTGACATTCTTGAATTTTCCTTTATTTTGTCATAATTATTTTTAATTTTAATTTTTGTCACCTGGTTTGGACAGGAACAAAGGGCATGCAGCCAATCGCGATGACAGATAAGCAGCCTAGGCCGCCTATCTGTCGTCGCGATTGACCAGCGCCGGCCCAAGCGCCTTCCTCGAGGTAGTGGAAGGGCGCCTCTATTGGAGTGAGGTTTGTGGATTTGGCGGTTAGTGTATAATATTTGCAGTGGTAGGAATGAGAATGAAGTGTAGGCATATTCTCTGAAAGTTCCTTTTGCTGCTCCAAAATTGACTTTTAGCTGCTCGAAGAAATGCTCTAAAATTACTCTGACCGATCACATCATTACCAATCCAATCAGATCCAGAAAGTGCACAATGACAGTGAGCTCTCTGTCTGTGTAGGCGCATTTGTATGTTTTTTAGGCTTGCACTGCATTCTGACTTACGATTAAACCACGTGTAGAAATGCCACCTACTATTCTGGAATAGTAGTACCGTAGACGGGATAGCAGTCAGATATCTGCAACTGTGAGAGTAAAAAAAATAAGAAAAAAGTTTGCACGTTAGAGGGGAAGGGAGATGTTGCTACCTTCCTCATTCAGGAACAACCTGGTATTCTCCTTGAAGCACAAATACCTTGCAAAGCTCTTTCTAGGGGAGGGAGGGTTAATGTGGCTATATACCAGTCTTGGGTAAGTTACTTTTAAAAAGTAATTCATTACAGTTACAGTTACTTTCAGAGGAAAAAGTAGCGAAGTTACCGTTAGTTACCGCAACAAAAGAGTAACTCGTTACAGTTACAGTTACGGTACTTTTAAGAAGTAACTACATTACTTTTCAGTTACTTTTCTATAAAAAAAAAAAAATTAGGAAAAATTAGAAAACGCTCTTCACCAAGTTTTATTGCATAACATTACAAAGTATGCTTTTTACTTCATATTGTAACTTAGCAGAAGTTGCTTTTCAAAATTAGTGTTTGAAAATTTCCACGCCAGAGCAGTGGCGCAAATCAAAATACAAAACATGCGCAGTGCCCTCCGCGTGTTTTGTTGTTTCATGGTTAATTCACCTGATTAAAAAGCGTTTTCACAGAAAAAAGAAAACCCACAACATAGATAGTGCTTCACACTAAGATGTAAGCGTTCAGTCACAAAGTACAAGCGCGTGCGTAAAGATAACTAGATTTTTTTTTTCATGACATCTACACGTTTCTATATTCGGGTCGTGACTCGTGAGAAAGAACGTATTCACAAGTTCGTGCAAGCCCAACTTGACACTCGAAATGTTGGAATAAACGATTTGAAAAGTGTAAGGAATATCAAATTGTACTCATTCAGGTATATAATATTCATAAAACACTGGAAAGTAACGACAAAAGTAACGGCATTACTTTCATCGTTACCTCAGAAAAAAGTAATAGAACTACAGTTACAAGTTACGTTTTAAAAAAGTAACTCGCTACAGTTACAAGTTACCAAAAAAAGTAACTCGCTACAGTTACAAGTTACCAAAAAAAGTAACAAAATTACAGTAACGCATTACTAGTAACGCGTTACTATTTAAGACTGCTATATGCAGTTAATTGTCCTGAAAGAATTTAGCACTCTTTCAGAAGAGAGGACATATATTCTCTATGGCCTGTGCATGGGTAAGAGTATCTCTTATGTTTTAGAGCGCAGCTCTTAGGCGCCCGTTTCCGGGTTGAGTGACGGCGCCGTCAACGTAACCGCGCGCGTTGCATTATGGGACGTCAGAGTTTCCCCGCTAAATTTAGCGGCAAACTGAGTTTGTGTTGAGGTGATGTGACGACAGTTTTCCCGCTAAATTTAGTGGAAAAATTTCCCCACTAAATTGAGCGGGAAAACTTTCCCGCTATATTTAGTGGGTTAGGTTTCCCCGCTAAATTTAGGGTGGAAATCGACGTCATGTGACCTCAACACCAGTTCAGTTTTTCCGCTAAATTTAGCGGGAAAATGACGTCACGACTTCATGTCACGTCACCCCTGGGCAAATTCAGAGGCAGAAGAAAAGGAGGAGGAAAAGGAAAAAACAAGAGGAGGAGGAAAGGAGAGAGAGGAAACATACCCTCCCCTCCAAACGTTCCCCTCCCCCTCCTCAAGAGCTGCACTCTAATTTAGCATTACAGGGAATCACAAACGTCTCATTTTTCCATCACCATATTCGTGTGCGCTTTTTCTCCTCTTGACCGAGCGTACATGTCTATGCTCGCAGGTGCAAACCAGTTCTGTGTATGAGTGTGCTGAGTATGCTTGCGCACAACCTGTGTAAATATGTCAGTTTCATCGAGGTTATTGTGTTCAGGTTATTTTGTATTGTCTGATTTAACTTTTTGTTCTTTCAAACTTTTTTAGTCATACACACCTGGAGCAGGCGCTTCAGTGGTAGCTTGTCCAGGGGGAAATGTCAAACTGCTTCATTCACACTTCAGCCTCGTGCCACATACGTGTTTCTGTATACTGTTCATTATTATTTCTTTTTAAGGCCATTTGGACAACTTTACTTTTGTGAGAAAAAAAAAAAAAGAGCACAACACATTAGCTAAACGTCAAACCGCCGCTCCTTCCCAAGTCGTGCAACCGTGTCTGCATGGCTTAGTCGGTAGCATGTGTGGCTCGCAACCGAAGGTCGTGGGTTCGAATCCCGCCTCCACATGAAATTCTTCATATTTTTTTCTTTAAGGCAAATGAATTACTTTATAAAGTGAAATCATTTGAGACACTCAGCGACCTTTCGTTTGCATTACATATTATGTTTTTATCACTTTCATTCCACGTGTGACATTACGTTTCATGTGAGCGTTGTGGGTTGTTTCCCGTACAAGGTCATGTGGCTGTGACGTCATGACCCTATCGACCTATCAGGATTTTCCCGTCCCACCGATGCCGACGCCAATGGCGACACCGGCTTTTTTTGTGACACATGCTCCTTAAGACTATCGCTTTAAAAAGATAGGAGTAGAGAATGGCCGAACATTGCCGAATGAGGGATAGTAATTTGAAAAATCTAGGTGAATGTCCAACTAATAACAACCAAAAAACAAAGTTTCAAACGTCTGAAGTCTGAAACTTTTGGCATGAAAGAGGGAAAAACACAAAACAAGCACTTGTTTCGTGTGTGCTAGAAATGTAAAAAAATCGGATCTTAAAATATAAATTGCAGTGCTGATTGTTATGCCTGCAGTATGAGGAACTCAGCTTCATACTATAGGTAGAAAATGAAGAGGACCTGAACAGGACCATGCCACAGCCCAGGTATTCTCACATGGGCATGCAAAAAGCAGTTGCATTCAGGAGCATGTGAAAAACTGATGTGAATGCATGTCATTACATTTCAATCATCATATGGTACAAGTTTTGGCAGTGATTGGCATGACATCATATTTATGGGCACAATATTTTTTATCTCTTATGTTGGCAGGTGAAGTTCTGGTCTCAGCACATTTCCTTCATCCTTGTTGGGATCATTGTGGTCACCTCTATACGGGGTTTGCTGATAACACTCACAAAGGTTTGTTATGCTTACTGTCACCTAGCGTTTTTAAACTGCATTCCTAAGTTTATTTTTTAACATGTAACTCTTTCTCTCAACAGTTTTTCTATGCAATATCAAGTAGCAAGTCATCCAACATCATTGTTTTGGCCCTTGCCCAGATCATGGCAAGTACATTAATTCCCACCTCCAGCCGGCACCATGAGATGTTTGCTATTTAAGCAGATGTTGTATTGTGTAGCTAGTGCTGATATTCTCCAATCATGAAACAACCTTTCAGGGGATGTACTTTGTCTCCTCTGTGCTCCTCATCCGTATGAACATGCCAGCCGAATACAGGTGAGCTGTCCCAAGTTTCAGTCTAAGTGGCTGGAATTTATTTGCACTTTTAAGGACGTAGACCAACTAACAGAAATATAGTGAGGTGTATGTTGTGCTTGTGCTCCCTCCCCCTTTTTTTTGTATCACGGTCACGAGCACAAGGTGGGTAGTTTGGATGTGCAGTAATGTGCTGGTGAAAGAGGATATATATTCTATTGAAAATTCTGAATTCAAAACTAGCTCTAAAAACAATGCCTCTTTGTTTTGAAGACTTTTTCTGAAGGAAATTTATTCAAGATGAGACAATACCAATGACTAGATGCTGGATTTAAAGACAGAGGCCTAAAAAACCCTCTATGAGGTACCAATAGCTCAGACATAACACAACCCCAAAGTAAGCAAAAGAAGACACAGACAAAAAGATACTTTTTGTATGTGAGTCGTCTTTAACTTACCAGCAAGCTTTGGAGTTGCGCTATGTCTTATCTTCACCAGCTCATTTGTACCCTCACTTCCCGTTCATACTATTGAACCTCGGAGAAAAGCTCACCAGACATAAGCTCACCGAAAAAACCTCACCCACTTTTATGCGGGTCAGGAGAAAACTCACCTCGAATTTGATTTTTATGTAGAGTGATTAATATTTTATAACAGTAGTGCAAACAATGTGCAACAATTTTATAGGTGCCCTTCACACAGATGATATACACTGTGCCACACAGTTAGCGCGAACGTGAGTTCAGCTTTACATTTTACTTAAACTAGGTGTTGACCACCATCAAACTTTTATCGCATAAGTTGGTGCCTCGAATGAGCACTTTTCACTGCACTAGTACTTTCCACGGCAGCCTCTCAATTCTGAAAAAGAAAAAAAGCCAAACGCTTGTTTATGTTGACAATGTCAAAGCGGGGCACTCTGCTGCAGCCCTCATTCCTCTTTCACGTCAACCCTTTTCACACGATTGTTCCCACATATAAATCTTACATAGCCGGTATGCAGGAAAGACGACCTTCCTTATTTTTTGATCAAAAGAGATAACAATTGAATCCTCTGATCCTTAAATAAATGGTGAACTGTAAAGATTTGGCATTGTGGTGTCGGTATACTACATGAAAGTCATTCCATATGTAGCTATTCAGAAACTACACAAGCTGCGGCCCTTTATGATAGTTATATTTCCCCCAGTTATCTTTTGATTAGTGTCTTTTTTTAGTTATTTCTTTTATTTTTGCTGTGTTATGAATGATGTGTTGCAGGACATTTTCCTATTTTAAAAATGAATTTTTCCTGTGAAGGGCAGAATGACCGCATGCTCATAACACATGCCAGCATATTTCAATTGAGTGAACCTATTTCACTGGAATGAATGCTTGACCCTTAGATACATAGGTAGGTGAGCTTTTCTCTGCATCCATCAAAAGGCAGGTGAGCATTTCTCAGCATCCCATGGTTTTTGGGATCAGTTTTTCTCCTGTGAGCTTTTCTCTGGTGAGATTTTGTTCGCCACCGTTCATCCTATTGCCACCCACAGGGCCGAGAAAGCAACGCTCGATCACAAACTTCTAGAAAATCCGCGTTTATTCTGGCTCTGGTTGTAACTTTTGTCCTGCTTGTTTTCGAAAGTGCCAGTTCATTCTCGCCCCGAGCGTGCGACGCTCAAACCTTCTTTGTCAAGCTTTCGAGGTAGTGATGCACAATAGATAAGCAGCTGCCCGCAGCCTTGTCGAGTCAGTCTCACTCTCGCTTGCTGTTATGCCGCCAAATCGCCGCCCGCTTCTCAGCTGCCTCGACGCCCTTTCTTTATTTTGATTGGCACAAGTTCGCCGATTAAGTCCTTATTTTCAGTGCACTGTTTGTCCTCTCTTCACCTTCATTCGTGGCAATATATAGCAGTAAATAATTCGGGTAAGCTCTATACCAACATAACCCTTTAGTATCACCTCATCAATATGCAGCTCAGGTTTTCAAGTTGAGATATGGAACACAAAGACACACACACTCACACACGCACACACACTCATGAGAATGTATTAAAGATCATTCTTTCTAGTTTTTCTAATGAGGGGACCTGCGTAACAATGACTAACTAGATTCCGAGTTTGACCTGTAGCTACGACCCGCAGGTCCATCATTACGGAGGTCCTGGGAGACCTTCAGTTCAACTTTTACCACCGCTGGTTTGACGTCATCTTCCTCGTCAGTGCCTTGTCCAGCATCGGCTTTCTGTACCTGGCCCACAAACAAGGACCTGAACGGGACGCAGTGCAGCCCTGAGGCACTACCGTCGTTCCTTCCTCCTTTCCGTGTAACTTTTTGCGCCTTAGTTGTTCTTGTAAGCTTTCTCAGAATGCATGGGTGTATTGGCACCACTTTCACGGTTGAACCAGCTGACTTACAATCCAAAGAGCAAACAAAATACAGTTGCATGCATTGGTGAGACTATTTATGAAGACTACAAGAGTGAGTAGAGGATGCTTTACTACTAGTGTAGATACTTTCATTGATTGTTTATATGCCCATAATTACTTTCATATTGAAAATATTCCTGTAGCTTGGTTGCCCAAAAAGGGTGATCCAACATAGTACTTTGCTGTCCAGAAATTACACGTTAAACAGCATGATGGAGAACTGGGCACCGAGGAACGAGTTGTGAATGAGAGAATTGCGATCCTCCTTTCACATTTTTTTACAGATGGAGTTTCAATATGCCATAGTGTGTTTGTGTTAAAATGTGTGTCTATTGACCAGCTGCCAGCAGCAGAGGTGTGAAATGTTTCAGCCCCAAGTGATTGTTGTTTGTGTGATACTGTCACATTATCAAATAAATGCTAGCTATTTTTCATCATTCTGTTTTTGTCTCCATTTTATGGAGTGATGATGCAACACAGATGCAGTGTTTTTGGCTTATTTATTAATGGATTTATTGCTATTTAACATTAAACACTAGCAGCATGTGCAATTTTTTTATATTATGGAGCATCATTTTGGAATTACTAAAAGCTTGCTCCCTTTTCTTTATCATGTTCACTTTTGGAAGACTATTTAGGCATGTGCTTTGTTTGTCTCAACAGTATTATATTGATACTAGATATGTATCTGGCATGCATCATGAGGATGAGACCCACTGCACTCGTGCTTGCCTAAAAAGAGCACCTCCCAGGATTATCTACAGTGTCAGCGGCTTTATTTTTGGGGGGAAAAGGTGGGGGGGGTGCATTTGACAGTAGAATGATTTTGAGTATTTTGTGGTTTAAAAGTATGCTTGTTAAAAACAAAATGTTCCCAAGAGAATTTTTTTGGACACTTTGGATAACCTTTCAATGTTTTGTGAATTGCTGTCCTGAAGATACATTTAACACATATAGAGTTTGAGGTTGGGCAAGTCGGTGCATACTGGTAACAGGAGAAAACAGTGCAAAAAAGATGCAGGGCAAAAACACAAAGACACACAGTGGTGACTCATGACTTCGTTTTCTTTTTCTTCTTCAAGATATTGCCTTCATTGCCTTAATGTCTTGAAGAATAAAAAACTTTCAGCCTTTCCACTCTGGTGAAGAAGGAAGACCAGCGAAGCTGTACTATGGTGGGAATGAAGTAATGGCCGGCCGGAAGTCCACAAGCCAGAGTGGAAAGGCTCGAAGGGTTACTGCCGTCGCTCATAGATGGCGGTAGCTGTCCAGAGTTCTGTATCATCCGGCCATTTGAGGACAGACACGGTCCTGGGGAAACTAGCTCTTAACAGCTCCGCTGTAGAAAGAAAATGAAGTGCTGAGTCAGCGCTCTGTTTGTGTCTTTTGCGTTCTAGTCCTGTGTCTTTATTGTGCTCTTTTTTCCTGTTGCCAATTAGCACAAAAACTATTAATCTGATGTATTTAAGCTTTTCTTTTGTTGTAGGAAACAAGTGCAGAGTCCCTTTGCCGTATTCGAGGTTCCTCCAGGTGGACAATAGCTATAGCGTTACCTTCAAAATCCGGATAATATGGTCCCGTACGATACTGTCCCAGACTTTGGTCCCTGACATTATAGTCCCAAACAGTATGGTCCCAAATCATTTTCGCAGCGTTTTTCTTTTTTTTTTCTTTCTTTTCACAGGTTTGTAGATTACGTTATTTATTTTTGCTAAACACTTATGACATGAGCCGCTGGTCATTCTGAAGTTACTTTTTTATTGTTAGCTCTTCACAGGTTTCTGTTATTAAATATGATTTGAAAAATTATTTTGTTGCGAGCTGTTTGTCAATCTAGAGTTTATATTCTTTGTGCATAATTTTCACCGTTCATTCTTCTTTTCGTGCATTCAACTTGAGTTTGAACTTCGCCCTTGAAACATAGTCGGAAAGGGGCCTGGCACAGCATCTGCCTTTATGACCGTCTTGACCTTGACCATGCATTTTGTCAAACCTTGACAAGCCGAGACCGAACTTTCCACCGGACCTGCATTTGTGGTCCCCTTGACCCCATCTGCTTTTTCAAACGTGGACCTTCAAACATAGCCTAATAAGAACCTTGAGGGGGCATCATCTTTTATGGTTGTATGCATCAGGTTGTGGGGTACAGTGTGGTAGATAACACACTTCTCAGGAGACATTTCCAAGACAATTATGGTCGTAAGCTAGTGCTACCACCAAGCTATATAAGTAGGGACACGCGAATGCCATAATGCTGTTCATTGGCAAACTGCAAAACCTAACTAAGGGTTGCTTTACCAAGTTTGCTCACAACGCCTGCTCCAACACGGTGAGTATGCACGTTTGGTTCTTCTAGATTATTTCGCTAAGCTTCGCGATAAGAAAACTAGTTTAAATTTATACTTACTAGTTGACAAAGCAAGTATACAAGATCGAAGAAAGAAAGCATAACTTTCTTTTTGTTGTTAATTTCCTTTCAGAAATTAGACCAAGAAGTGCTTTAGTGGTTGGGAAGTATCCACGTGAAAATAACACTTCACTGACCAAGAACTTGGCTTCGAGATTGTGCTGTTCACGCGCGTCTTTTTTGCGTGTTGTAGTATTCCTTTTAGCGTTATATAGGCATAGTGATTTTGCTTTGTTCAGTTGTTCAAACGATAGCTACTATCTTTTGGCGATTGAGTCAATTTTTTTAATGTAGAAGACTGTCATAGCCGTGCAACATCTCTGTGAGATGAGATAATTGTATGACTAACAAGTAGGATAACAAAATGAATTTTTTTGCAAGACAACTTCGTCATTAGTGTTTCTCGTTTTTTGGCGGTGCTTCTTCTTAATTACGTAGTCAAACTTTTCATACTTTAAATGCAGTAGGGGCTACAATCTTGCATTTTAATTAATCTATATTTTATTTCTTATAACATCTCGGGTATGAAGTTCAGCGGCACCAGTCAGAGTGGCAAGAAGCTACATTTCGATGGATTTCGATGTACCAAGCACAAGGCCGTCGCCTTAGGCGCTCATTGGTGTTGCGTGGATAGAACTCGAGGCTGCAAAGGGGCTATTATTACAGAAGAAAACAATTAGCAACCACAAGTCTCTGTGCGACACATGTACCTGCTAGATCCAGCGCTTGCACAGGTATTCGAAGTTTCCAGCAGTGTTAAAGAAAACTGCACAAGAGACGAATGGATTTCCAAGTGCAGTCTGCGCAGAAGCACTTCGCAACCTCCAGGAGTCCGCAAGAGCTCGAGTCTCAACCGAACAAATCCTCAAGAAGGATATTCGCTGTCAAAGAAGTTCTCTCAATCCACCAACACCAGCGAGTCTTACCGATCTCGTCATTGATGGGGCGTACACGACGACCAGGGGATCATCTCCGGCGGAATTCCTCATCTGTGACAAAGGGCCACAAGCTCGCTCCAGGATCATCGTCTTCGCAACAGCAGAATGCCTATGGCTGCTCTCCCGAAGTGAGACCCTCCTCATGGACGGAAACTTTGCAATGCAGCTGTTTCTGCAGATTTATGTGCTACACGTTCCTCTTGGGAATCCGCAGAACAAGGGGTGTACAACTTCCTGGAAAAAAAGACACAAGAATCATACAGGAACTTCTCAACGCTGTTGTTGCCGCTTCAAAAGCCAACGGAGCTTTGCCTGACCCGAGCCATCGATTTTGAGACAGCTGCCATGAACTCTGCAGGTGCAGTTTTTGGAGAGGACATCTCCACCCATGGGTGCTATTTTCATTTTTGCCAAAGCCGATGGCACGAAATACAAGAGCTCTCACTAGTGCCTCTTTATAAGGAAAGTGACTCATTTAGACAGATTGTTGGGATGATGAATGGATTTGCATTCTTACCTTTGGATGACGTCGCAAGCGGAATGGACTTCTTGCAGACGATCATACCTCCTGAAGAGGAAGACCTTTTCGACTACTTTGACAGCACAAAATGTCAGCAATACGTTCCGCCAGATACTAACAAGCAATGGAACGGTGGGCCTCCGGAGATGCGCACCGAAATTCCTTCATCATCTGGAACATGCATGCCCGAACAGTGACTGGATGCCACAGGACGAGCAACCTTGAGGAGGCATTGAATAGAAAATTTTCCAGCGTGGTTGGTCGCTATCATCCCTCTGTTTGAAGACTGATCTATGCCCTGCAATCCTAGCAGGCTTCTGTTGCCACAGTTCTGACGCAAGGGTTGGCCGGACGTCCACCAAAGAAGACGAAGAGAATCTACTGAGAAATACAACAGCGACTCCTAACACTGCACACAGTACATACAAGGGAGCCTTACCATGAATGACTTTCTGAAGGACGTGGGCCATATTAACACGTTTCCACACTAAGTGCCGCTTTGTAGACCTTTTGTTGGAACATAATAAGACTTGTGTTCAAAAGCATGTTTATTTCCATTGTTATTTTCTAGCATCGCATCGAAACATGTGGTATCTGCACGATAAATGGCTTTTTTTTATTCCCCCTATGACGAATCAACATGTGACGAATGGACCGTATTTTATTTCTATCACTCACCTTAAAAGTAATCGCTGCAGATATAGCGTCATTTTATACAGAGCGTCAAAAGTCGAAAAATTGACTTGGGACCATTTTGTCCAGGTTTGCATTCGGGACCAAATTGTCCGGGACCATTTTGTCCGGGATCATATTGTCCTACACCTGTTCCGTTCCCAAAGTTCATTATTAATACTATAGATTATCTGAACGCCCAGTAAGTTATGCATATTTAGTTATTTTTTCTTCATAAATGAGTAAGAATAATTCAATGCCGAGAGTCACTATAGTCCGTCACAACTCAAGAATGTAGGGCAAGGGAGAGGAAGGCCGGGGAGGAGGAAGCTGACGGAGAGCTGGAGAGGAGAGGGGGAAACCTCCTCTTCAGCGTTTGATCTGCTTTCTCCTTCCCGGTCTTCCTTACCCTCGCCCTAACTTCTTGAGTTGCAACGGACTATAGTGCTCACAGATCCATATCATTCCGTCGACACATTTCATTGATATGACATTTTCATGCACACATATGCTCCTGAAACATTTCGTTGTTCCGTCGACAACACTTTTTTTTTTTTTTTTACTAAGTGGATTGGATTGGATTTTGTGCTTTCATTTGCTCGAAGTATACCGGAAGTTAGCAAAGCCACCCTGGACAAGCAAATATTATGAGCCCTACTCCTAGGTTTCCACGCATGGCACGGTCACCCCTCCCAGTGAGGTGACTGTGTCTTATACACCCCTTAGGGGGGGTGTACACCCCTTTTGTTTTTCTGAAGGCACCCCCTTAATTCGCTGGACTCCTCTATTCTAAATTGGGCCCCTACCCCCGCAGTGGAAGAAACCGTGGTCACCCCTCACTGCACCCTCCTCTGCTTGTGAAAGATGGAATCTGATCCCATTCCCAAGCTTGCCCCAGTG